AATTATTTAAACAAACTATTGAAAATCAAAAAAGGGTAATGAGCAATAGAACTTATATTGACATTGGATATAATAAATTGATTCAGAAGTTAAAACATTTAATTGCCATAAAAAGAATAAAAGAAACCAGGAAGTGCCTTAGTCAGCAAACATCTGGCAAACTTACTAGCCAGACATAGAGATTATTTTCTTTTTTCTTTCTTTCTTTCTTTTTTTTTTTGGTGAGGCAATCAGGGTTAAGTGACTTGCCCAGAGTCACACAGCTAGTGAGTGTTACGTGTCTGAGGCTGGACTTGAACTCAGGTCCTCCTGACCCCAGGGCCAGTGCTCTATCCCCCGTGCCACCTAGCTGCCCCCCTAGAGATTATTTTCAAAGGTAACATCAGATCAGAATTTAAATATTTGTGAAATCTTAGGAGGAAGAAAGATGATATTTATGTCTCCTAAACCAGGGAGAAAAAGTATTGGGCAAAAACATTTTAGAGAAAAGCTTGCCAAGATGTTCACTTAAGCAAAGTTATTCCAAAGGTATTCAAAGATAAAACATACTGCAAACAGGAACAAAAGCCACCTTACAAATGCTTTTATAGCAAGCTGTCTTCCATTCATACATCAAAATCATTCAGGACTCCTTGGGAGATGTAATAAGAGAAATGACTCTTAACAGTAACTCTGCTAATCAACATTAAGCAAGGCACAAAACAGATGCATACTTGCTAAAAATATTTACCATGTTACAGAGATCCAGCACAGAGTCCAGGTTGAGGATGGCAACATCTTCCAGATGCTCCTGTTTGTGAATAATTATACTAATTATATCAAAACCTGTACAACTTCAAAGTCCTTTGGAAGAAGAGAGTTGCAACCAAAGGAGATTGGTCTGTCCATGTCACAGGAAAAACCAGATGGTTGAAAAATGCCTATTGCTCAGATTTCCACATGCATTGAGTGGACCCCTTGTTGAGCTTGAGCTTGTTCAACAGCATGCACTGGTCAGGCAAAACCAACGGACCACAAACTGGTCCTACAGTTGAAAAAGGGGAAAAGAATAGGCTGGGTTGCTTTTAGGAAATTTCAAAGAGCTTTTCCTATGAAAGCAAAGGTCCATCTTTTTCTTTTTTTTTTTTTTTTTGAGATTATCTTGTCCAAACCCCTTCTTTTTGAAATTAAATTTTATTTTTTCATTAAGAAAATATATTTTCTCTATCTCCCTCTTTCCTGCTACCATTAGACAAAAACAAAACAAAAATAAAACACCCCTGGAAACAAATATGTATAGTTAACCAAAACAAATTCCTGATGGGCTAGTCACATGGCAACAGTCAAGGATGAGAAGTGGAATGGCCAGAATGCCTCACAGATACCTTTGTAATGTTGATGGGTAGCAACAAAGTCCTCAAGGACATTGGATGGAATCTTTGTGAGCTTTTGGAAGAACACAATGAGTCATACAAGACGAACAGGTTAGATGTGTGGCTTCTGTTCTGTATGGTTGACAGGAAGTAGGAATTAGGTGGTGCAATGGATAGGCACTGTCTTTGGAATCAGGAACACCCAAATTCAAATGCTGTTCTAAACTAGCTCTATCACCCTTGGGCAAGTCACTTAACTTCTCTGGGTCTCAGTTTCCTTATTTTTAAAATGAAGGGATGGATTTGATAGTCCTTCCCAGCTCTAACTCTATTGTTATATGAGAACAAAACCCGAAACTGAAATAATTTAGAAGGAAGTTAAGTCATCCAGAGAGAGGAGAGCCAAAAAACAGGCCCACCTCCACCCTCTTCCAAGTGTTTTGTAAATTATACTTTTTATAGCATTCAAAATCAGAGGCAGTTTCTAGATAAGACACCTAGCTTGCTTGAGATGTATAACAGGAGAAAACTCACATTCCTTGTATCAGTCTTTGGATCTGACTAGGTTTCTGGTCAGCATAACCAAGGTCCTGAGCTAAGCATGAGACAAATCTAGTCTCTAATGCCACGCAGAGCTGGTTTCAAACAATGCAATAACATTTTCCCACACTATGATCCTATGAACTCCAAATCAGTATGTTGTATGTTAAATCAGGTTTAAAGAAATTGTGATAATGTCAACATAATGTGAAGGTTTCCTCTGGATCTCAACTAGCAAAAATTTTTTTTTGGATACTGGCAAATCTTCAAACGTGATCAATACGGTGGCCCACCATGATTCCTAGAAACTGATTATAAGACATGCTTCCCATCTCTTGACAAAGGTGGTGGACTCAAAGTTCAGAATGAGACGTACTTTTTCAGATATGACCAACGTGTGAATTTGCTTTCCTTGACTATGCGAATTTGTTGCAAGGAGGGGTTTCTTTTTTTAGGGATGGGAGGTAGAGAATTGGGGGCCAGAGTGACTAATGATAGCCAAAACCTGAAAAGAAAAAAAAAAGAAAAAAGCTGTGAGCAAGGTGGCTTTGTTATTCTTTTTTAGATAACAGTTCTCAGAATCATAGACACTAGTTCCCAGGATCCATAGCCATATAATCTACTAGTTCCCAGGATTTCACATTGCAAACAATTTCTACTGTGACTGCGTCACAAGCTATAACAATGAGATAATGTGAAAATTTGAGTTTAGTTGCAAATAATCTACTGCATCTGTGCAGTGCTGAGTCATCAGGATATTGCCAAAGTTAATGTAAACTTGTGAGGCTATTGCTGGAAAATTGCCTTCTTTGTGCGCTTCTCTAAAAATCAAGAGAGCACTGGTTAGTGAGTAGGGATTTATGAATGTGTTTGCTTCAACTGCCTACCCCCCACCCTGAGTTGAGGCTTAGGGGGGAATGCACAAGCTGCAATGCTGTGCTGCCTTGACTGGCCCCTATTGAGGCTTAGGAGGATGAGATAGGAGTTAGAGCTCCTACACTTTGTATATTCTCACCTGCCCCTGCAAGAAGAGTAATTAGGGGATGCTGTAGGAGTTGGCGCTCCCATTATCAGCAACCCCATTGAGAAGAATGAAGTAAATTATTGAACCCCTCCAAAGCTGCCTTCCTGTCTTCGGCTGTCCAGATCGAGAGTGAACCCTCTGGAGGCTGGAGCCCAAAACCTGCAGGGGTGCCTCCTGCTGCCCAACGAGAGCTTCAGTGAAGTAGTTTTTTTTTGATTTTTTAAGTACACAAGAGATCAGAAGGAGGTTGAGAGAGGAACAGAGATAAACAACCCAACTTGTTAATATGATGAATTGATTATAAGCTATGAAAAAAGCTGTATGTAATGAGATTTGTGGTTTCATAGACAATCCACTTTTTCTCTTCTTTGCATATGGCAAAGTTCAAGTTTGGTGGTGTTTGTCAATTTCAGAATACAAAATTAAACATTAAAAAATGTTAGGAGGTGATTGAAGGGTGAGGAGAGAGCTGAAATTGTCATGGTGCTGAGTGATACCAGAAACCTGGAATCCTTTATTTAGGATAGATTCAATTCAACCAGTGGAGTTCACTTAACTGGCTAAGATTTGCCCGTTAAGAACACTGCAGGCAAGCTACTAGGTCTCTAGATTGCCCTCACAGTTCCAAGCATTCTTACAAGTTAATAAGTAAACTCCATAATTTTTGGTGACATTAACACCTTGCATTTTTTCACTGCTGAGAGGGAGTGTTGTGCGTTGTAGACCTGGAATTGACTTGGGTTCAAATTCTACCTCTGATGCTGTGCTACAGTGAAGCAACAACCCACACTGCCCCTCATGGGACTTGTACCCACAGAAGACGACGGAAACAATATGAAACCTAAGAGGTCAATTTTGAGGATGGCAGGAGGGTCAGAGGAGAGGTAAAACAGGGGGGAAGTGGCCATCTGGTCCTGCCACTGGCTGGGTGGTGGGATGACTACACAGAAGGGGAAGCTGGGAATACCAAAGACACTAGAATTTTTCTCAAATTATCTACAGCTTAGGGTGCAATAAAATACATACATATATAATTAACTGAGATGGTTTTTGCATCCCATTACCCATACAACTTAAATACCAAGTAGAAAATTTGATTCCCAGTTCAACCTTGCTGAGCCATCGTTAAAATGACACCAACTATGTATCTATAATCCAGATCTCTTGAATAAATTGAAATTCATGTGATTTTAGTTGCTGATTGTGGCATTAAACTTTCTGTACTAAAATTTACTTCAGGAGAGATTCATTCTCATGAAAAAGTAATTCCTTATTAACTCCTTACAAGGTCAGTCTTTTGGGCTCTCTGCTCCTCAAAAGAAATATATGTGTGCCCTATTATAAATCCACCACTGCAGTTATAAATTGTTTGCTGACATATTAACTCATCCATTGCTTTTCATATAGAAAATTCTTACAAGATCAAGAAGCTTTTGATGTAACATGTCCAAAAAAGAATCACAGCGAATTAGGATAATTTGTGTTAAGAATCCTCATAATTTCCTTTGAAATCAAATACTTAAAAATGGGGAGTCAAAAGGATCATCCTAAATACAACTCTGGAGTTAAACTTTTGCAGAGAATGAATTTAATAAATGCTAGGGCTTCAGAAATGCTGGGCAGATAAAAATGATGACTCAGGTCTGTGGTGCTAGAATATCCTGATTCCAAGGCCTCTGGAAAGTAAGAGGCTATCCAGATCCATATGTTTTCCACAAGTAGGCAACTCTTGGGGCAGCTAGATGGCGCAGTGGATAGAAGTCAGGAGGACCTGAATTCAAATGCAGCCTCAGACCAAACACTTGACACTTACTAGCTGTGTGACCCTGGGCAAGTCACTGAACCCCAACTGCCTCAAAAAACAAAACAAAACAAAACAAAACAAAACAAACACAAGTAGACAACTCTTACTCGTGATCCTCTCATGTATATGTATTGACTTAACCACTCCTGGATGACTGAGACAGAATTACAAGAGTATTCAAGTCTTATGTGACAGTCAACAAGAGAGTAGAGAAAGCAAAGTGCATACAAGTCTAAAACCAGGTACTTGACAGGAAGTTACGTATATAGCACAAAGACTGTTTGGTCTGAATATCAAAGTTTATTGAAATAAAATATAATCTATAATAAAAAATACTAAGGATATTATTTACTGGTTACAATTTTAAGTTATATTTACAAAACATCTAACATTTTATCTAACAATGACACTATTTTTGTTACAACAGTAAACACGAAATTAAGTTCCAATACTGAATTCTTGCAGTCATAGGAGTTATGATTTTCTGCTTTCCAATCTGTGTCCAATATGCCATAAAAAAGGAATATGCTTCAAAAAGCAAAACAAAACATTGACTATAATTCATTTTAGTCTGATGTAGTTTTTAGCACAATTATTATTTAGAACAGTAAAATTGTGTCAGAACTTTAATTAAACTTTGAGAGATACTCTGAAGCTTTAATTCAGAGAAAGCTCCTTCCTATGGGTCATCTTTGGGGTTGCTATTTTTTTTTAAACTTGAGATCATAACTAGTTGAAGGAAATTCCAAGCAGAAGTTTCAGAAATAAGGATCAGAGTTTTTGAGAAATTAAGACCTGAACATTGTAAATTCTAGATTGTAAATCGTAAATTTGAGAAACGTGTGGTGGCTTGTGTATCAGAAAGTCCCCCTCCCCCTTTCTTTGTTATATCATTGAAGCTTCTTGATCTAAATGAATTGAGCAAAGAGATGGGAGAAAAAAATGCAACTGTACCCTTTTCACTCCATCTCTCGCTTTCTCACCCCCACTAGTTCTTTATCCTATCCCATCTTGTACATCTTAAAGTGTGCCATAGCAAATTTCTAAGTGTCCTGCAGAAGGAGAAACTTGAAACAAACGGGCTTTTCTTTGAATTCCAAAGATATAGGGATAGACTGTTGAGGGTAAATCTGATCTCTTGAGTCAATATTAGTATCTTGCTGAATCATCAATCACATTATCTACCTGAGGACCTGTAGAACTGGGTCACACACATGAAATCAAAGTGGTTACTTCATATAACAAAACTTAATCTACTAAAACTTGTTTAATGACAGTCAATCTTAAAATATATTCCATTAATTAGAATATTTAGAGAGAAATGCTGTAGCTACTGTGCCCCAAGACTGCCTCTTTGAACTCTGTAGTTTAAAAAGTGTTTAAAAATAAAAAGTCCAAAACCAAAATGAAACAAAAACTTGTAACAGTTTTCTTCTTTTACCTTTAAACCTAAAAGGAAAAAATAGCCCCTCAAACACAACAAACTGGGATCAACTTGGAAAAAAAAATTACCATTTTCCCTTAGCTTTAAGATAGAGGCAGCATCATCCCTGATCAAAAAGCAGTGTGTTTTTTTTCCAAGTAAAGATGAATATAAAGTTTGCTGTTAACTGAAACAACTCCAAGATAGTTATAGAAACAGTATTAATTTAAGGTGCAACAGAAATGTTCACTATTAATTATGCTCCTGATTTGAGTAAAATGACACTATACTTTTTGTTCATGGAGAGAGTGGTTAAATGTTTAAACTGTATACTCCTTCACTGGTATCTGAATTCCCTACCTATAGCAACAGGGTACCGAGTCCTTGTAGGTGTATATCTGTTTTCAGGATAATAGGAGAAAGATCTCAGCCTGACTTTAAATTTGAAGTCCTGTAACTCTTACTTTCTTTGTTTCTGAGTCTAAGTTATGATGAGAAGGGACACAGACTACTTAGAAATAAAAAGTTGAAAGAGAAGGTTCTACTTAAATCCAAATTCCTATCAAAGCCAATATCGATATTAAATAAAGGATGCATTAATTTGAATCTCAATGCTAAGATTTAAATTAAAAATGCTAATGTCCAACAATTTGGTCCAGTGTTTCTTATCCTAGATCACCCAGTCACCATAATATGTTCAGAAGTTTTCTGTTTTGATCAAATACTCTCTAATTAAAAATTTAAAAATATATATTTTTATTAGTGCTACTTGCAGAAAATCATCTTACTTCTTTGGTAAACAAAATATAATCTGCTAACTCCTATCTAAACAAACATTACTATTGTATTTCTCACTGTGGATAATTAGAACAGACTATAATATATTATTTGTATAGATACAGACATGTATTTTAAACACCTAATCCCCTTTATAGCTTAAGTTTTTTTTCCAGCATTTTAAGTGATGCTAAACACTAAACTGGAATCAATAGCAGGTGTCCTATTAGGATATCAAATTATGATTTTGTATAAGGGCTAAAGAAAACTTAATTGTAGCTTAGAAATTCACTGAATGACGACTTCTTTGGCCCAATTAAAAGATTCAGCAAGAATTATCAGATTCCATTAAGTTGTTTTTCTATCTGCAGTCACTTAAAAAAAAACCCCAAGAATTTAACCACACTTTATTAAATAACATTTTACACCAATAATTAGAAATACCAGTGAGAATGAGAACACATGAAGAATACGGGGCAGACAAATCCCCAGGTAACTCTAAGTGGAGAGAGATGGTTGCCTTTCCATGTACAAATATTTGTATATACATACTTGCATCTTGATGACTTTATTCAATTGGGCAGCAGGTATACATAATTTTCTTTTAATCTATGAAAGAGATTTGAATAAAAAATAGGTTGCTAAGTGTTTTCCACCAGATGCCCCTATTTTGACAGGGCCAATCTCTCATTGCACCCTTCACAGTATAAAAGCATTCTGAAAAATGCCTTTCTTTTTTTTAGGGAAATGCCACATTTCAACAAGAGAAGATAATACAACACATATGACTACACAAAAAAGCTGACCTGGAAACATCTTTCAGCCAGCAATTTTACTCTAAAATTACATAGTTGAATGGAAAGCGGTTCTCAAAACACACTTCAGTTAAAAGTGCACAATACATGTGACTACTATAAATACCTTGTGCTTATACTGTGCCATTTATTCATAGGTCCAAAAGACAAACAAGGATTGTTTCCACTTACAGATTAAAACCGAGGCACAGGAAGTTCATCTATCTGGCCAAAGAAAGGCAGAAGGCTACCTTTCAGAACCAAAACATCTCAGGACTCTAGATTTTCAGCTCCATTAAAGATTAAACTACTCTTTCTCTACTACAAAACTGTACAGATACCTTGGGTGGCTCATTAAATTATATCAGATACTAGCAAGTTTTACATCAGATTTTTGATTAAGCTACTGTGTGGCTAACAAGAGAACTCTGATATAAAGCATATAAGCCTTCCTTTTTGTGGGCTTTTAATGACCTGGCACATCAAACAGGAAAACGTTAAAACAGAGCACTTTAAACGCAGTACAAAATGTATTTTACTAAAAGTTATGACTGCTTAAACATTGCTCTGGAAATTCTCCATCATGAATCATTTTCTACAGTTTTATGACAGCTCTGTGTACTACCATTTTAGTGAAGTCCACTGTCATTCTTTCCCTAGTCTGTGTTCAACATTCTGTATGAATTTTCTGAACCTTGCCTACACAATAAGGCCCTCTGTCTCTAGGTGAATAGGGCTCTGATTCATACTCACAAACAAAATGCTTGGAACCAAAACAAAACAATTCACATAATCATGTTATGGCTTTTAAGTCCAATATGATTAATGTCAATCAGCCAGCTAATCTAGTATTAACAAGTTTGAGCAATTAAGACTAAAAGGGAAGAGTTCTGTCCACAACACAGGACAAACAGCTGAGGACACAGAATGTGCAACAGGGAAAAAAAAGATACATTCCAAATCCTAGCTGTAAACTGAAACTTCACTCTCACTATCCTCATCTCTCACGTGGAAATGCTCACTTCCCAAACGGGGGGGTTGTAACTGACATAAATATTAGCTAGTGGGTCATGGTGTTTACTGCAGTTTGGACTTGAGCTTCTCTGGCTGTAGGTATGTATGCACATACCTACACAAACATCTTAGAGATAAAACTATAAAATGAATTTAAATGCTTGTAACATATACATGAAATCTGGAAGCACTGCTGTCTGTCTGCATTGCATCACACAGTGGAAGGAGCTAAGTGCAGGAAAGTCTGCTGGTAAGATAGCCAGCTCCCTGCCCTGGGATGCCAGGAGTGATTTCTTGTATGCAGAATAGACTCATCATGTGTCACAAATTAAGGTGTTCACGTTCTTTTAACTTCTCTTAAGATGTATCCCACAGAGGATATTGAATTTCAGTCATTACAAGTTCAGGCTGTCATGGAAATACTACTATATACAACTATCAAATCCAAAGACACCCAAATGAACAACTCAACGTCTGAATACTAATAATCTGTGGAGAAAAATACAAAATATAAAAATTAAGATAAAATCGCTCTGAAATTCTTGATAACCTCTTCATTGAAGGGAAATAAAGATATCAGAAAAGGTGAGTGTTTTTTTTTTGGTTTTGTCTTTTAATGGCACAGGACAGTTTTTCCCCCTTTACTTTCTATTTTAATCAAAAAGAACATTTTATTATCATTAGCCCTAATACAGCAAACTGAAGTTCAGGAATGTAAGAAAGACCTGGAAATACTATATATAAAATTGTGGTATTAACAAATACATTAAAATCTTCAGTATTTTTTTAAACTATACATTGAGATTGCTCTGATAATATTACAGTGCTGGTTTAAGTGAATAATTTTTGAGTGGGAATGTAGGATGGCAGTATTATTTTAGGAAAGAACTAGAAGATAATGATTAACTTTTACATATTTATTTTTTCAGAAGCAATAAATAAGTATAAGCACATGATTGTGGCAAAATCTGCATTAGTTATAGATTAGATTTTCTTGAATTTCTTGTTTTTTAATTTTTTTTGTCACTCCAATATAACATAGTTATGATCTCTTTTAGATAAAGAAAATAAACCATGGTGTTTGTTAGTCTAGTATCAAGCATAAATTTGACAGCTTCAGTATTGGGATGGAGATTAATCTGTTTGCTTCTACAGGGAATGATGTCATACATTTTATTAGGTTGTTGATGTAATTGTCAACAATTATCAAGAGATCCAAAAAAAATTGTATGTCAAAGTTTTACATCCAAAACAGGGTCTTCGTTTGTGTTAGTTTGCAAAGTTGAAAGTACAGTAAACTCTGTAATGTACAACAGATAAGCAATATAAAGGGATCTAATGATTCAGTTTGACCCTGGACTTTAAGAGAATTATTCCTTCCATAAATAAGATTCTACTTTTGCTATAAGAAATTATATTACACTTGGTTTTTGATCATGGTAGTAGCTAAAGTGGGTCATCATTAAAAATCTAGACTACTTTTAAGCAGTCTATCGTCACCCCAAACCAGAAAAGTTATTTTCCAGATGGATATTTAGGACAATTTATGGTATTCTTAAGTAAATGTACTTACCTAGGCTTAGACTGGGAATCACAACACTTTCTGGAGCAGCAACATTTTTTTTCCAAAATGACTAAAACAAACTGCTACATAGAAAGCTTATCAAAAAGACTATTAAGATAATTATTTTCTTAATTGTATCTGGAAATACAGGAGAATTTATGGTTCCCTCATAATAAAGTTCAACAAATATTCTCTTTCTGTATCCTATAAAGATTATTAGATATTATGTATTTATTTGGTTCCCATAAATTAGAAAATCTGATTGCTTCTATATGTTTCCCAAAATTCTAAACTAGTGACTAAAATAAGACAGTGATATTACAAATGAGTGCCTTTCCATCTGACTACAAGAGTATCTGGACCTCTCAAGATTCCATTCTGAAGTGTGCTTTTTATTTAGTCATGATTTTAAAAAAATATTTATATTTAATTTACTTGCTTAAATGGGCAAGTGGACATAATCTTAGTGTTAAGGTTCAAGGTTTTTATGAAAAAAGGCAGATATTAGTTAATTCTGGATTCCTACATTTGCATTTCTACAAGACTATTATTACACATTCTAGTTTTCTCCCACTAGTTGCTTATTACATGGTCAATAAATAGGAACTGTGTGGTCCAATTTACCTATGATAAATGCTAAACTAAACCAAAACAATAAACTTGCACAGAACTTATAAAATCATTTCTATCTATCCCGACAGTATTAATATTATATCCAGTTGTCTATTGTGGGGAAAAGGAATATAGATCTTCATTTTGGCCACCCTCCCCCCATTTTAATCAAATGAGGCTTTATTCTTAATCTTCAAAGAGACTGTAACTAAAATGAACAAGTTCTTCAAGAAGAGGTGTTTATGGGACAATGGTAGCAATGTCCTAATACATACATGTAGGTTTTTTAAAAAATCCAATATTTGAAGGGTTGAGCATGTAAGAAGTGATAGGCCTAGTTTCTTATAGGCAATAATGCTTTCACATCTAGGCTGGCAATAAATAAAACACCATGGAAATTAATTTTAAAAATTATTGTGCTAATATTTTGATTTCAGGAAGGAACCTGACAAAACCAATTATCTCCTTTCATTGTTAGAACAGAAGATGAGATAGCTTACTAACTGATGAGTAATAAATGTCACTATGACACAAAACTTGCTGTGATTTGTATGTTCAGCTACAAAGTGTGGTATTTTTCATGATAGATGATACAGACACTTCCAACTTGTAACAAGGAATCCCAGCTCACAATGAGTGCACTGTGCAACTCTGAGAGTCTGATTGTAACTAAGTAGCAACTTCTTCCTTTTAAAACACAAACAAAATCCACTGGGTAATCAGGCACAGACGGTATGGAAGGGTTTTTCTTCCTTTCACCCCATGGTTTTGTTTCTCAGGGCAAGTACTTGGCTCCAACAGAATCCAACACCTGTTACAGAATGACACAACTGTTTTTCTCCTTTTCTTTTTCTTTGTCTTTTTCCCGAGGTTCTTTACGTTTACGTTCATTACTCCCAGATTGTCTTCCACTTAATGGAGAGGCAGTTACTTGTGCTGGCTGACCCTGCTTTAATTAAAAAAAAATATTAAGAATAAAGTAAGGAGGATATATTAATTATTTTAAATGATGAATGTTTAATCAGTCATCTTGAAAAAAATAACAATAACGAAGTCATTAAATCTTTAATTTAAATAGACAGATACTTCAGTAAAGTTTGTATAATCATCTCTTCTCAAAAAAGGCATACTTCAAGTAAATGAATAAAAGACAGAATTCCAAATTAAATAACTGATAATAAGCATGACACTAGCTTGTCTTTACACAATGCCAAATTATAAATTTAAACAATTTTTAGGTTGGAATACTTCAGATGTTGGAAGGTTATATACATCCCCCAAAGAGCTATGATAATTGAACTTTGCTTTATTGTAAATTCTAAATTAATTTTTAAAAAGAGAGAAAGAAGAAAAGTTCTGGGAACTACAACTGCATAGTCACAAAAAAATCTAGAAATTTTTTTTGATCTAGAAATATGACAGGATGCCTGCAGGGGCAGAAACTTATGAACTTGGAAAGTATTACAAGGAAAAGTGAATTGCTCTATGGATTTGGGATGTATAGCAAGCACTATTGTTTATTTCAATGCCTAGCATCTGACAGGGTCAAACACAACTTTTACCCTTTACTTTAAAAAGTTTTCAACTTCATCTAGTAATTTTTTCTTTTTCTTTTTTTATTTCTTTTTAAAAAAATTTTTTTTGGCTAGGCAATGGGGTTAAGTGACTTGCCCAGGGTCACACAGCTAGTAAGTGTTATGTGTCTGAGGCCGGATTTGAACTCAGGTCCTCCTGAATCCAGGGCTGGTGCTCTATCCACTGTGCCACCTAGCTGCCCCAAGTAATTTTTTTCCAATGAAAATGCAGCTCTAATTTTATAATGGAAGCCATAGGGCAAGAGTAGTCACTTTCTAAAGATTTTATTTAGAATTAACTTCAGCTGGAAAATATCTATTCTACTTTAAATTTTGCCTCCAGAATGCAAGTTATATCAGCATCCTCAAAGTAACATGAGATTATTATAATGTATATTTAAATACTGTTATAATATATAATTAGAATATTTTGAAAAAGTTATTTTATTGCCCTGATAAAATAATAAATAGGAGCCAGTTTTTCTTTTCTCTGGTTAACTTACAACATTTCAAAAGGACACCCTTTAAATGAAGAGTTAACCTTTTTTTGTGTCATGGATCTTTTTGGCAATATGGCGAAGCCTATTGCCTCTATTCAGGATAATGTTTTTAAATGCTTAAAACAAAACACACAAGATTATAAAGGAAACCAGTTTCAGGGGAATACAGTTATCAAAATGTAAAAAACAAAACAAAACAAAAAACAAATTCAGAGACCCCAGGCTAAAAACCCCTACTCTAAATGTGAATAGAACATCCTATAGAATATTGAAGGCCACTTCCATGGTGACACTTGTATGAAAGAAAAGGCTAATGGAGAGTATATAATCCAGTACATTTTAACACTAAAATCTGGGGTTATAAAGTGAATATTGGGATAGAGATTTACAGACTGAGTTTTAAGACAACTCCTGTATTTATAGTACAATTAACTGACAAGATATACTTTCCAATGGAACTAGCTTCAAAGGCACAGTTAACATCATGCTTTATAAACAGGTCATTTCTGAAGTGGAATATAATCTGACAAATAATTTTGGGAAAGGAGCAATTTCTGATAATGATTTAGTGCTTAGTATGGAATCAATAACGTGTGATACTTAATTAGATATTGACATAATTGAAAATTAAATTGTAAAACTTCATATTTTCTCTCAGTGAGATATTTTCCCCATCATTAAAAGTTCTAATCACACTAAAAACAAAACAAAACCAGAAAACTTTTTTCTTTAATTTTTTTTTTACCTGGGTTTGTGCAGCAGCGGCCGCAGCTGCAGCAGCTGCGGCCGCTGCTGCCTGTTCTTGTTCCTGATAATATTGAGAAGCCCGTCTATCTTCTTCCTCCTGGAGTTTCTTGGCTAGCTCCAGATCACTGATCCCTTCTGGAATTTGTTCCCAGTTGATCTCTTGGCTCTGTTGTTCTTGTTGTAGAGACAGGGCCATAAGATAGTCCTAATAAATAAAATGAGCATTTTTAGCTATGAAATTTTACTAAGATTGAACTGTATATTGGTTGAAACATAGATCAGTGTATCTTTATAAAATCAGATTCCTTGGAAAGCAAGTCAGACATGAATAAATAACATGAATAACAGTTTTATACAAACCAGATTTGGGGAGACAGTATAGTCTATATTTAGACCAAAATGATACCCAACTCTCGTCTTCCAGTCTGACAGAGATTGCCCTTCTCTTTGCTAAAGTCAAACCCCTTTATCTACATGTGCCCTTGAGCCTACTCATTTCTTCAGCCGATTGCAACCTCAATCATTCTGTTGTCTCTCAAATCTTTAACTTCTTCTAACTACTGATTCCTTCTCTACTGACTTCAAACATATGTCTCTACCGCTGTTAAAAAAAAAGCCTATTGTGCTATATATCTTTCCTTTTTTCAGCCACACTACCTAGAAAAAGCTGTCCACACTCACCTCATATACTTTCTCCCCAATTACTCACTCCTCAATCCCTTGCAATCTAGCTTCTGATCTTATGGCTCAACTGGTACTGCTATTTGCAAAGTTAACAATGATCTCTATTAACTGCCAATTCCTTTGGTCTTTCCTCACTCCTCATCATTCTTAATTTATATGCTACATTTGACACTGTTGAACACCTCTCCTATTGGAATTCTCTCTCTGAGTTTTCATTCAAATACTCTCTGACTTCTGACTACTCTTTCTCAATCTCCTTTGTTGGCTCATCACCCATATTACACCCCTTTATTCTGTGTATTCCAAACACTGTCCTGGATCCTCTATTCTCTCTACACTTTCTCTTCTTAGGAATCCCATCAGTTTTAATGAGATTAATAGTGCTACACACACACACACACACACACACACACACACACTCACACACATACATGTAGATAACTCATAAGTCCACTTAACAAGTCCTAGTTTCTCCCCTGAATTTTAGACTCCTATCACCAATTGCTTGTTTCAAACTGGTTGCTTTAAGGGGCAGCTAGGTGGCGCAGTGGATAGAGCACCAGCCCTGCATTCAGTAGGACCTGAGTTCAAATCCGGCCTCAGACACATAGCACTTAATAGCTGGGTGACCTTGGGCAAGTCACTTAACCCCATTGCCCAACCAAAAACAAAAAGACAAAAAAAAAACTGGTTGCCTTAGAGCCATCTCGTACTCCATATATCCAAAACATAACTCATTCTTCTCCCAAACCTTTCCCCTTTTCAAACTTTTTATTTCTTCTTAAAAAAAATTTTTTTTTGGCAATTGGGGTTAAGTGACTTGCCCAGGGTCACACAGCTAGTAAGTGTCAAGTGTTTGGTCTGAGGCCACATTTGAACTCAGGTCCTCCTGACTTCAGGGCTAGTGCTCTATCCACTGTGCCACCCAGCTGCCCCTTTTTATTTCTTTTAAGAGTCTTTAATTTAAATCTTTCTTTAATTAGTCTCCCAAGTTCATAATGCCAGTATTATCCTTGAATCCTGCCCAACAGCAAGAGATAGAAAGAATTCCTTTAAAGTTACTGTAGATAGCTGCCAGAAGGAAACAATTCAAGTACTGTGGAAACACAATCAGGATAACACAAGATTTAGCAGCTTCTACATTAAAGGACCGCAGGGCATGGAATATAATATTCTGGAGGTCAAAGGAGATAGGATTACAACCAAGAATCACCTACCCAGCAAAACTGAGTATAATCCTTCAGGGAAAATATGGTCATTCGGTGAAATAGAGGACTTTCAAGCATTCCTGATGAAAAGACCACAGCTAAATAGAAAATTTGACTTTCAAATACAGGACTCCAGTGGAACATGAAGAGGTAAACAGGAAAGAGAAATCATAAGAGACTTATTAAGATTGAACTGTTTACATTCCTACACGGAAAGATATTTGTAACTCATGAGAACTTTGTCAGTATTAGGGTAGTTGAAAGAAAAAAATTATATGTATGTATATATAGATAGATAGATAGAGGGCACAGGGTGAGTTGAAGATTAAGGGGTCATATCTGGAGAATAAAATTAAGGGATGAGAGAGGATGATACTCGGAGAAGAAAGGGAGAGCTAGAATGGGGTAAATTATCTCACAAAAAAAAACAGAAAAGAAAAGTCTCTCACAGTGGAGGGGAAACAGGGGAGGGTGAGAGGGAATGAGGGAATCTTATTCTCATAGGATTTGGTTTAAGGAGAGAATAACATACACATTCAATTGGGTATGGAAATGTCTTACCCTACAGGAAAATAGGGGGAGAAGGGGACAAGAGAGCAGGGGGATGATAGAGAGGAGGGCAGATTGGGAAAGAGGGTAATCAGAAGCAAATATTTCTGAGGAGGGACAGGGTCAAAAGAAAGAATAGAATAAATGGGAAGGCAGGATAGGATTAAGGGAAATAGAGTTAGTTTTTCACAACATGTCTACTATGGAAGTGTTTTGCGTAACTGCACATGTACAACCTATATTGAGCTGCTTGCCTTTTCAATGAGGGTGGGTGGGGAGGGAGGAAGGGAGAAAATTTGGAACTCAAAGTTTTAAAAACACATGTTTAAAAAAAATGTTTTCACATGCAACTGGGAAATAAGAAATACAGGAAATGGGGTACAGAAGTCTATCCTGCTCTACAGGAAAACAGAAGGGAAAGGGGATAAGAAAGGGAGGGGGGAGAGATAGAAGAGAAGGCAGACTAGGGGAAGGGGTATTCAGAATGCATGTCATCTTAGGGTGGGGGGAGGGGTGAGCAATTTGGAGCTCAAAAACTTGTGGAAGTGAATGTTGAAAACTAAAATAAATAAATTTATATTTAAAATAAAAAAACCAGAGTTACTGTAGATATTATACAATAGTTAGGAGTCTACCTGCCAAAACAAACCCAGGAACTGTATGAACAAAATTACAAAACACTTTCCACACAAATAAGTCAGATCTAAGTAATTGGAAAAATATCAGTTGCTTATGGATAGGTCAAGCTAATATAATAAAAATGACAATTCTACCTAAATTAATTTACTTATTCAGTGCCACACCAAAGTACCAAAAAGTTATTTTACAGAGCTAGAAAAAAAGGTCCACAATATCAATGGAATTAATGAAAAGAAATGCAAAGGAAGGTGGCCTAGCCATACCAGATGTTAAATTGTATCCTAAAGCAGCGAGCATCAAAACTACTTGGTACTGGCTAAGAAATAGAGTGGTGGATTAATGGAATAGGTTAGGAACACAAGACACAAGAACTCAGGGCTATAGTAATCTACTATTTGACAAATTCAAAGACCTCAGCTTCTGGGATAAGAACTCATTATCTGATAAAAACTGTTGGGAAAACTGGAAAATAATATGGCAGAAACTAAACACAGACCAACATCTTACACTGTATACTAAACTAAAGTAAAAATGGGTACACAATTTAGATATAAAGGCTGATAATATAGGCAAACTGGGAAAGCAATGAATACCTGTTAGATTTGTGGAGAAAGGAAGAATTTATGACCAATCAAGAGACAGAGAACATTATGAAATGCCAAATGGATAATTCTGATTACATTAAATTGAAAAGTTTTTTGCACAAACAAAACCAATGCAACCAAGATTAGGAGGGAAGCAGAAAACTGGGAAAGATTTTTTACAGAACAGTGTCTCTGATAAAGACATCATTTCTAAAATATATGGAGAGCTGAATCTGATTTATAAGAATACAAGTCATACCTCAGTTGATATGATCAAAAGATATGAACAGGTAGTTTCCAGATGAAGAAATTAAAGCTATCTATAGTCATATGAAAAAATGCTCTAAATTACTATTGATTAGAGAAATGAAAATCAAAATAACTCTGACGCACCCCACCACACCTATCAGACTGGTTAACATGATAAAACAGGAAAATGACAAATGTTGGAGAAGATGTGGGAAAATTGGAACACTAATGCATTGTTGGTGGAATTGTGAATTGATCCAACCATTCTGGAGAGCAATCTGGAGCTATGCCCAAAGGGCTACAAAACTGTCCATACCCTTTGACCCAGCAATTACAAATTCTAGGTCTGTATCCCAAAGAGATTATATAAAAAGACTCATATGTACAAAAATATTTATAGCAGCTCTTTGGGTAGTGGCAAAGAATTGGAAATTGAGGGCATGCCAATCAACTGGGGAATGGCTGAACAAGCTGTGGTATGTGAATGTAAAGGAGTACTTTTGTGCTATAAGCAGGCAGACTTCAGAAAAACCTGGAAAGTCTTACATGAATTGATGCTGAATGAAATGAGCAGAACCAGGAGAACATTGTATATACTAACAGCCACATTGTGCTATGACTGACTTTGATAATGCAAGGACTTAAGACAACTCCAAAAGACTCATGGAAAATGCTGTCCACACTCAGAAAAAGAACTATAGAGTTTGAAGGCAGATTGAAGCATTTTATTTGCTCCCTCTCTTTTTTTTTTTTGTTTCTTCTTTCTCGTGGTTTCTCCCATTGGTTCTAATTCTTCTTTACAATTTGACTAATGTGAAAATAGGTTTAATATGAATGCATGTGTAAATCCTATATCAAATTATATGCTGTCTTGGGGTGGGGAAAGGGGAGAGATGGGGAGAAAATTTGGAACTCAAATTTTATAGAAGTGAATGTTGAAAACTAAAACTAAAAATAAATAAAATTTATAAAAAATCCTTGAATTCTCATACTCTCACTCCACAAATCCAATCAGTTGCCAAATCTTGCAGTTTCTACTTCCACAACACATTTCATGCCTGACTCCTTCTCTACTCACACAGCTAACACTTTTGCCTAGATTATTACAGTAGCCTTCTTTAATTGGTCTCCTTCAAATTTTTCTCCATTTCAATCCCTTCTATGTACTCCTGCTATAGTAATTTTCCTTAAGTGTAGATTTGACCATGTTATTCCCCTACTCAATCACTTATTGCCTCTAGGATCAAATGTAAACTCCTTTTTAGCTTTTTTTTTTTTTTTTAGGCAATGGG